AAAAAAAAAAACAATGTATCGAGCGAGTTTACTGCAACTGAGCCTATCACCTTAGGCGGATAGCTCTTGTTTCTATACTTGGTTGGATTCTTCTGTAGTTGGTTTGATAAAATGAGCCGATGGTTCATGAAGATCAGATCCATATATGTGACCCATCTTTACTCGTTTGGTCTCAAGGTAGCGCTTGTTGTCCTCCGTGATGGGTGTTAGCACCGGAACTCGTCCCACAACTGCCAAACCATAGCCTCTAAGACCCGCAAACTTGGCCGGATTGTTTGTCATCAGCCGCATTGTGTGAACACCAATGTCGTGCAGTATCTGTTTAAGCCCACACAGAATGATCCTCAGTTTTGAGTTCTGGATATATTCTGCAACCTTTTCTTGTTATACAGATAGATATTGACCAATAAATACCAAATAACATTTTCAGTAGAAATTTTAATTCACCCTTGGAAGTAGTTTCAGTAGCAAATTCAGTAGTTATTCATTTACTTTTTGCTATTTTGTTTTTTTCTTTAAAAAAGATGATAAATTCATGGACTGACCTGGGCACCAATACCATATTCGCGTGCATCGGCAGCAAAACCAAGCTCAAGATTGGCCTCGACGGTGTCGTGGCCCTCATCCTGCAAATTATAAGCCTGAAGTTTGTGACCAAGCCCGATCCCACGCCCTTCATGGCCGCGTAAATATACAACAACACCTCTCCCAGCTTGCTCGATTATTTGCATAGCCAAATCCAACTGACTGCCACAGTCACAACGCCGTGACCCAAAAATGTCGCCGGTCAAACACTCAGAGTGGACCCTTACAAAAACATCTTGCCCATTTCCAATATCTCCCTATTGGTACAAAGCTATTATTATTTCTTTCATTTCTATTTTTGTTTTTTGCAAGGAAATAAATTATAGTTTTACCTTAACGATGGCCATATGCTCCATCCCGTCAAGCTTCGAACGGTAACAGTGCAGGTGAAACGTACCCCATTTAGTCGGGAATTGCGAAATCGCTATTCTTTCCACTAGTTTTTCCCTCTTCCGCCGGTACCTAAAAAACAAATGTATTTATTTTTCATAATTGTAGTTTCTGATTGTAAAAAGAAAAATTAAAAATAAAAATACCTTATGAGATCAGTGATGGAAACAATTGGAAGGTCGTGATCTGAGGAAAACTTTTTTAAATAGGCCAAGGAAGCCAGAGAACCATCTTCAAAGTCGACTACAGATGTTAGAACAGAGACTGGCCGCAAACCAGCTAGCGTTACCAAATCAACAGAAGCCTCAGTGTGGCCCACTCTACGTAAAACACCACCATTTCTGTACTTTAACGGGAAGACATGGCCTGGTCTCTTGAAATCTTCGGGTCTCGATTTTGGGGATGCCAGAGCAAGAACGGTGTTTGCTCTATCTGAAGCCGATACACCGGTTGATGTCCCAACTTTAGCATCCTAATCGAAAGTTGGTCGAAAAGACTCAAGAGAGTTACATGTGCCGTCTGCTAAAAGTCGAGTGTAAATGTTTTGCAAAGCTTAATATTTCAGAAAAAAAAAAAAAATCAAGCCATATAATTTCAACAACAAGGTCTCACACTTGAGAATATTGTCACTCGAATCAAAGTACAACACGGGCAGGTGCTCTTGTATGAAGTCTTGTCTACAAGAACCTCCACTTTTAGAAGAAGTTATTTATCATGGTTGAGGTTAAGGAAGTTGTTGAGCACCAGAAGCCGGCATTGTTGGCACATATAACTCTAAAAGCTTAATTGGGATTACACAACAAGTGCTTATTTACTTTAAACAACAAACCTGAAACATTATTAATAAACCAGATATATGGTCTGTTTAAATTCCAATTAATTTGTGATATCATTTTAAGCCACAAAAATTATTTCTTCTGTCTGAATTCAGCAGACACAACAGGCCAACAGCTCTAGTGATTGCATCAAATTTCACTTTCTCAACAGAGTCTGTTCGAGTAACTCAAGCAAGACGCCTAGTTAACGAACATATTCTGTCCTGCTAAAGAAACACCAAATCCCAAATAGTTGGAGATTAAACAGTTTAGTGCATGCATATGATCCATATGAACGAAATATAAACAAACAAAACTGCCAAACTGCAAGAAACTTAAATTTGCTGACCACTGTGATAGTGAATGAAGGAGCCGAAGAATCGTCTTCGTTTTCAGGGGACATCAAAGGCAGCTTAAGCTTCTCAAGATCCTCCCCTTTCATCCCCACCGAGACTATGCCCGACCCATGTCTCACCATGAATCCTATTCTCTTCTCGCTCGCGTGGCATGCCCCCATTACAAGACTCCCTTCTACATTACCAATTTCATCCTCATCCACAACCATCACAAACTAAAACAAAAATACATTATAAGTAAGAAAATCACGCCCCATTGATCAACCCAACGTCCATACCAATCTGTTTTTTCTAATATATATAACTTGTCGAACCTTTTCTTGTCGCAAAGCAGTAAGTGCTTGTTCGATTGAAGAGTAGTCTGGAGACGGACGGTCAGGATCGCCCTCAGCATCGCTCACAATGAAATCGATGGTTTCGTTGGTTATTTCAGTTTCCAGCGTCCCAAAAGGAGGTAAAGGGGAGGACGAAGATTGATCGAACAGCAACGAACCGTTTACGTTCTGATTGCCGCAGCAAGTTCCGAACTTCCATGCCTGAATTCTACTTGTGCTTCCGAGCTGGTGAGTAAGATTTAAGGATGTGTTTGAGGGTTTGAGGAAGAATGAATGCTGAAAAATAATGCAATCCATTAGCATGGAGAAAAAGAAGACCAAATAAAATGTAGTTGTATTTGAAGATGGATTTCGGGGAAGTGTTGTATGTGTAGGCAATTAGTTGATGGGAATAAAAGAAGATGAGGAGATGATGGTGGGTTCGTTTCTACAGAAAAAAACAGCGCCTATTGTTCGTTATCCATTGAAAACAATTTTTTTTAA